TGGAACTACAGGTGTGCGCTACCACGCCCGGCTGATTTTTTGAGTTATTGTAGAGATGAGGTCCCGCCAAGTTGCCCAAGCGGGTCTCGAACCCGCAGGCTCAGGCAATCCACTTACCTCAGCATCCCAAAGGTGCAGGATTACAGGCAGAGCCACTGAGCCTGGCTAAAGTCCCTATTCTTTATCTAAGTTTAAGGTGATATAAAAGCATCAACCATCTTGCCTTTCTTTGGATTTTTATATTTCATATGACTCCTGTGCACATGTATGCATGTAATAAAATGTATATGTCTTTTTTCCTGTTTATCTGTCTATTATTAGTGTTAAGTTAGTGAGCCAGTGATGCAGGAAAATGCAAAGAATTGCACAAAGAGTAGGTCAGAAAAAGTTTATTTAGAAAGTAGATCAGAGAAAAAGGGTAGATTCACCTCTCCAAGTTTGGAGAGAGTTGGATGGTTAAGGAAAGTTTGGCAGCAATGATTGAGGTTGAAAACTTTTAAAGCTTCCCTTTTAGTTGGGGCAGGTAAGCATTCTTGGATGAGATAACACAGGAGCTGTTGCCATGGTGATGGGGTGGTGGTCTGTGTCACATTGGTCACACAGGGATAATCACAATAGACTGGTCAGCTCGGCCTTTTATGACTGGAAGACAAATACTTCGAATAAAAGTAACTGTCTCTGAAAAACTGGTTTTGTTTCTTGTGTAATGATTATAAGGTGGGTTGAAGTAAGCTGCTGAAGAAGCATGACAAAGCTAACCATTGTTAAAATGGCTGCCACTCTGACTAAAGTCACTCCATTTTGGCTTTTACCCTTTCAATTAGTTTGTTTTATAGTCTTAAATGATCAAACCCTCAGGGGAAAAATACTGAACTTCCCTACAACTAAAAGAATGAACTAGAGTCTAATAAGCCAGAGGGTAGTGCCAAATCATCAAACTCTATTTAGGAGAGGCAACTATAATGTGAATTTTTAGATATTATAAGCAATCTGAGAACATTTTTTCTTCTTAGAAAGCCTTTACTTTTCCCCTATGAGCCAGTGGATTTTTTACAACCTTGAATTAAAGGTGATGCATGGGTTTGGAGATTTTTTTTTTTCCTAATGTATATATATATATTTTTTTTTTGAAGAGATATTAATGCTTAAGAGAAAGGGAAACCACTTTGGTAGCTTGCAGCAAAGTAGGTAAGCTTCATGAGGACAGGGAGCGGTCTGAAGAAATAGGAGGAACAAGGAGGCAAAAGATACTAAAAGCTGACCCCACTGGCAGCTATGCATTATCCACATGCCTCTGTGAAAAAAGGAGTGACAAAATGCCAAACTGAAGGACTGTTGAAAAAGATTCTTTCTCCTCAGAGCTTAGGTCAGAGGGTTTCCATCTTTGATGATTTAGATTTAGGGCAGCAATATCAAAATACTAGGTGGGCTTTAAGTGGATACACATCAGAAATGGCGGTAAGTGTGACTGAACTATTTCCAATTAAATGCTAGCTAAAAGGGAGCTTCAGATTACTGGTTTTCAATAAACGCTAGCAAATTATCTTGTGTTACCAGAAGTTTCACAATTTATTTTTGTTCCTTTTCAACACTGTATATGTTTTTCTTGCTACCAAAACATTGGCTTCTCTTCTTTAATAGTGTGACCATTCATTCACATAAGTAAGCTATTTTACCCATGAAAAGAATTTTCCTTACTCCATCCCTGGATACAGAACCCTGCTATTAAAAAGAAAAATAAAATTTTAAACTCCAATAATCATTTTCTACTTGATGGAGAATTTGTGTCTTCTGTTATTACTGAATGTTTAACCAAAATATCATGTGGTCTTACATATGGATAGAACTTTTGACAGGATTTTACCTCCTACGCTTGCTTTCCATACTCAATGGAGTTTCATTTTACGTATTTTGGTCTGGTTCACATATAAGGCAAGTATCAAATGTGGAAAAATTACCTTTGAGAAATATTTTAAATTGTATAATAGTGTTGACATGACTTTGCATATATAACCCTACTGTTGACAAAAAAGGAAAAGGCTGATGCACAAAATATAATTTAAAAAGTTCACTTAGCCGTGCTCGGTGGCTCGGCCTGTAATCCTGTGCGTTCGGGAGGCTGAGGTGAGTGGATTGCCTGAGCCCGCGGGTTTGAGACCCGCCTGGGCAGCGAGACCTCATCTCTACAATAAATCAAAAAATCAGCCGGGCGTGGTAGCGCATGCCTGTAATTCCGGCTACTTGGAAGGCTGAGGTGGAAGGATCGCCGGAGCCCAGCAGGTCGAGGCTGCGGTGGCCAGGAGCGGCCACTGCACTCCAGTCTGGGCGAGAGTGAGACTCCAACTCAAAAAAAAAAAAAAAAGAGTTTACTTGAGGCAAAGTGAGGACAGCTTCCCAGAAGACTCATACCCAAGTAACCTTGGACATGAGTTTCATTTGGCCTTTGTTACAGGTGATCTCTTAAAGGCAAAAAAGAGGGGACAAGGAGTGACTGATACAGCGTTGCTTGTCAGGAAGTATCATTGTTTTACAAAAATAACATTGATTAGTGATTGGATATACATTATTAAGCTATAAGGCATGGAGTATAGTGTCTGGTGAGGTATTATTAGGTTAATTCATAGCTAATGTGGCCATAGCAAGCAGTTTCAATAGGCGAATACATAGCTCAAAAGTGGAGAAGACTTGATTGCTGTCTCATTTTAATGCCTCTCTGGGCCTAATAATTTGAAAGGCTCATATTTCACAGATAAAAGTTCTTTCCTTTTTCATTACATAATAATTTAATTCAAAATAAAGATCGAAAAATAAGGAATTCTAAAGAAAGGGAAGACTGAAATAAGGAAAGTATGGAAGAAGGAAAGCCTAAGTGAGATAGATTTCTGGATGTTTAAACCATTCTACTTTTAAGTTAGCATTCTAATCCCTCTAGTGAATGTGAGATAGATGGAGAATTTTGATGTGTTCCAGCTTTGTTGCAGGGTTTACTTCATTTTATTTTCATATTAATCTTCTGTGGCCTTGACAGATATCATTCAGCTTCTTTGTTGTTGTGAGACTTAAACATCATGGTGAAGACTCATCTTCAGGATGTGGGAGATTGAAAGATAAATATCTAAAAAACTAGAGTCCTGGTCCAGTGTAAAAACAGCCAACCAGAATGCATCACAAAATAAACACTGGCTGCCATTTTGAGGATTTTGAATGGGAAAAAGTCCAAGTGGATTTGTGAAGAGTTAACACCTTGAGGAACTACAGATATGACGGATGCTTATGTAGAAATAATTTTTCAATCAAGGTATTAAGGAAAATGTGGAGTTTTAGAATTTGTATTGTATAAATCTCATCACTGGTTTTATAAAATCTTGTTATCAAAAAAAGTATGCTATAAATACATACATTAAATTCATTGCCTGCTTCCTAGTGTGGTCATCTTTGATATCACCCTGAAAATTAGGGCTGTTTTATCAGAGGCTCACCTTGTGACAGTCCTACCCACATCATATCAAACATATTAAAAGGAAAGCACAACCCCCATCAACTATGCTTTCAATGTAAATAAATATTTTCATCTATTATTACTTTTTATTTTTATTTTACAACTTTCTTTTTGTACTTTCAGTCATTTCATTTTTTTCTTTTGTTAAGCTTTTGAAATTCTCCAAGGCCCTAGGCTAGGGATAAATCCTAATGCTGGGCAGATATATTGGCCTTTCTGAAAAGAATGCCTTAGTCATTCTGAAAGTATTTATGTATTTTGTCCCCTTCACTGAATAGAAATAGCACAAGGTCTATGATCTACAAAAACTAACAACACAAATGTTCCTCAAGACCCAAATAGTAAGCATAGAGGCTGAAAAAAACCTCCCCTTTGCCTTCTGAAGTGTCACTGAAAAATCAATGACAAAAGACAGATGAATAAAAGAAAAGGCATACAAATTTATTAGCTTGTACATGGAGAAGAACCACAGAGTGGTTACCCTAGTCCCCTAATGGTGTAAAAAAGCTTATACGCCATCTTGAGGTTATAGAAAGGATGGGGGTTCAGAGAATTACCAAAGACAGGTTATAATGGTAAATCAGGTTATATGGCAAGAAAGGTTATGGGAGGGAGAGAAGAGGAGGCCTAACTAGGTGATCTTGTTATATAGATGATAATTCACATGCATCAGCCCTCAGAGAGAATAGATGGTGTTTCTTTTCTTTTTCTTTTTTTTTTGAGTTGGAGTCTCACGCTGGCACCCAGACTGGAGTGCAATGGCTGCTTCCGGCCACTGCAGCCTCGACCTGCTGGGCTCCGGTGATCCTTCCGCCTCAGCCTTCCAAGTAGCTGGAAATGCAGGCGCGCCCTATCACGTCTGGCTAATTTTTTATTTGTTGTTAGAGATGAGGTCTCGCCAAGTTGCCCAGGCGGGTCTCGAACCCGCGGGCTCAGGCAATCCACTCACCTCGGTCTCCAAAGCACTGGGATTACAGGCTGAGCCACCGAGCCCGGCCAAGTGTTTCTTTCAAACATTTAAAGGTGTCAGACTCTCAGTTAACCTTTCCTAGATGGGAAAAAGGAGGACTTCAGAAAAAACCTGGCTATATCCATGCAGATTTTCTCTACAGGTGCAAATCTCCACACGAAAGACAGCTTTGCAAGGATATTTCTGTTTTCTGACCCTCTGAACAAGCATCTCAAAATATATTAAAGAAGTATAATTGGGGGCAAAATATTTTAATTTTCTTTAGAAGTCTTTCCATTTCATATGTTTTTATCATACAAGGAGATTCTGAACATGATGCTGCTTGATGAAACCAGACAACATAATTAAATTTTCATTATGAGGCACATACATTAAAATCTTATTTTTCTTAATACAGTTTTCTTAACTAGGCACAGAAGATTAAAGAGAACATAGTGTGCTTTAAAATACATGAAAATCTGCAGAGGGCCACAATGTCAGCACTCAGGTTGTTTGGATGAATTGCAAACAATTGTTTCCTTTTTTGCACAGCCTCCATAGTGATTGGGAAATGGTGGTGTGAGATGGAGCCTTGCTTAGAGGGAGAAGAATGTAAGACACTCCCTGACAATTCTGGATGGATGTGTGCTACAGGCAACAAAATTAAGACCACAAGAGTAAGTACATTTATTTCCAATGTCTCTTTCATGTTACAAATTGTGCTGCTTGCCTTTGTGTAGTGAAAACAGCATCCAGAGAAGCTTAGAACAGAAGACTTCCCTGACAGAAAATACTCTTAACTGTGTAGAGCAGTGTCCATCCATGAATACAAAGTTACAGATTGCACTTGACTTTTCTACACTGAGCAATTTATTGTTTCTGTTAGTGATTTATAAATTAAGGTTGCCCTAGCCAGAGAAGAGTAGTGAGGTAATTATTCAAATAACTCATCCAACAACCATAGTGCTCAGAATGGCGATCAAGTAAAGATCTTGCCTCATTCATCCAGATGGCTTGCTGAAAAAGTTTGCATTTAAGTGTAGCCATTTTCTAGAAGTTCCTTAAAGAAACTCTTTGGTCTTTTGGAGAACTAAAAGAGTTTTTCTAAAGTTAATAATTATTCCTCGATTTCTTTGTTTAAATCAAGAGTGATCTTCAAAATATATAACAACCTTCAGGGTGAGGAGATGCAACCCTTTGAAATTAGGGCCTTGATACTGGAGAAGGGCATGAAAGGGCAACTAGCCAAACATTAAACTATAGGTACTGGATAGTTTGGGACTCCTAGAGGGGATGGGATTAAAGGAACACTCAAGATACTAAGATAGTAACTATTTATTCACTAATACAAAAGTATGTGACGACCTTACGTATCATATGTATATATACCAATTGAATATCAATCCTGGTGTGTGTGTGTGTGTGTGTGTGTGTGTGTGTGTTAATTTATTGGGTATTTTTTAAATCGAGCTCTACCAGTAACAAATCCCAGTATATTGAACTATTATTTTTTACCAAATAGGTGACTCATACTTAAAAGAGTGTCTTTGATCTCATCCTTTGGATTAAGAATCTTTTTTTTTTTTGAGTTGGAGTCTCACTCTGTCGCCCAGACTGGAGTGCAGTGGCACGTTCCTGGCCACCGCAGCCTCGACCTGCTGGGCTCTGGTGATCCTTCTGCCTCAGCCTTCCAAGTAACTGGAACTACAGGCGCACGCTACCATGCCCAGCTAATGGATTAAGAATCTTAATTTGGGCTGGGTGCAGTGGCTCAGCCTATAATCCCAGTACTTTGGGAGGCCGAGGCAAGAAGATTGCCTGAGCCCAGGGGTTCAAGGCCAGCCTGGGCAGCTTGATGAGACCTCATCTCTACAATAAATCACAAAAAGTAACTGGGTATGGTAGCATGCATCTGTAGTTCCAGTTACTTGGAAGGCTAAGGTGGAAGGAACACCTGAGCACAGTAGGTTGAGGCTGCAGTGCCGTGCCCATGCGCGTGCCACTGCACTCCAGCCTGGGTGATAAGGGTGAGAGTCCGACTCAAAAAAAAAAAAAAAAAAAAAAAAGAATCTTACCTTGCTCTTTCTTCTCAGCATCATCCTTTCAATAAATAAAATTCTTTCTTGAAACTTCATGATGTAGAAAACAAAAGAAATACTACATAATACTTTATAAGATGTGGGGACCATGGCTGTTGGTTCCTTAAAGGTTCACTGAAAAGTCAGTGGCATGAGGCAGATTGATGAATAGGAGAAAAGACATAATAATTTGCTTAACGTGTATACACAGGAAACTTCAGCATGATGACTCAACTTGCTAATGAGTTACAGAAATTTAAATACCCTCTTGAGATTATAGAAGGAATAAGAGCTTGCCTTCTCGTAAAATCACAGAAGAGGAACTCTACTGAGGGGCAACAAATGATTGGGAGAACAAATGCATGGAGGAAACAGAGAATGACTTGTAGTTCTCTTTGAATGAACCTGAGAGACAGGCCATATTTTGTAAAATGGCTGAACCAGGTCTGATTATATTCCTCCTCTCCTTTCCTGTAATTGACAATTTTAACAGAGAGAGGGAGCAGCTTGGGAGAGATCTTGAGAATGCCATCTTTTAGCATGAATTTCTCTATACCTCTTCATTCCCTGCCTGGAACTACCCTAGAAGTTTTCTATATTAAAAGCTGCATTAGTGTCTGTGAAAGAGAAAATTTGAATTAAAATCTGAGAAGAAAAAATTCCACTTGGGCCAGTCCCATTAACCAGCTGTATCTTATTTTAGAAGGTGGCATTGTAGACGGCCTAAACCTCTGTAGATAATGTAGGCAAACAGATCTTTGATAGGAGATGTTTTTATGAAGACAGAAATAAAACAAAGGTTAACATCTGAAGCTGTCTATAAACTGGTTTCCTTAGAGTCTTGAAAGAAGTCAGCTGAGTTGTCCAAACATTAAGACTCAAAGCTTATTTGCTTCAAGAGGAAAAAGGCAGCAGAAATCTGACAAGTTTTTTCCTGGTGTCACAAAAGTAAGCTTCAGCTTGTAGGTTCTGAGGAAAAAGGCAGTGGCAATTTCATTGAGTAAATCAGGAAAATGAAAGATAATTTTGAAAACATTAGTTTGGAGACTTTTAACCAGGAAAGCATTTAGGATTCAGTCCAATTGTAGAAAATAATAAAAACTTGAAAACAATGAACAAGGAATCCAAAAGAAGATCTTTTGAAACATAATTTTCTCTCTCCGGTTCTCTATTTTTATCAAAGACAAATGATAGTAGGACCAGTTTATAAGTTTTAGTCTTACTTTGTTTGGCCTGACTATTTGCATAAAGTGCAGGAAGAATAATTATTTGCCAATAGGCTCCTTTTTAAACTGGACTTGTTGGAACTTTTTTTAATGGAACCTCAGATTAGACCTTTGAAAGTCTCTCAAGTCAGCCAAGGCTTTATTTGAGCCTAAAAATACCTGTATGAATTGGGTGAATTCCTTTCTTCAAGATCTCAAAAATAACTTGGGGTTCCTGGACCTGTCAGAGAGCGACCTTCTTTACTCACCACAGGTGAGGAGCCCTGTAAAGGAGCTGACAGAGTAGGAGGACAGCCCTTCCAAGGGGCTTTTTATTGGCTCTTTATAGATCTCAATCTCAATTCCTCAAAGCAGTCTGTTTATATCTCAAAATGTCATTGCTGTCAAAGCCTTGGTAAAATAGCCAGTATCTCCAATCACGTCCTGTTGCAAAAGAAAACAGATGCTCATTGAATTTATATAAATAACAATATTGCCATAAATCAATATTCACAAATAGTGTCCAAATTCTGGAGAAATCATGTAAAGAGAAAGAAATAAACTTCAAAGTTTTTCACAAGAACGTACTCCACTCAATAGTTAAAAGCTTTAAATAGTTCAAGAGAAGAAAGTTTCCTTAACTCTGTAAACAAAACAAAAAAGTTCAGCAATATTTTGAATTTTTGAAAGTCATAAAAAATTATTTGTCTTCTTTTAGTTCAGTCCATGCAATTATCACCTATTTTGCTTCATATTGGGTCCACAGTAATCATGAGCACACAAGCTCTCCAGGAAAAGTCTTGGAAGTTTTTTTGTTTGTTTTGTTTTTTGTTTTTTCCTAGTCCAATGGCATAACCTCCAAAGTTATAAAAAATTAGAGTTGAAGAGCACCTTTAAGAGTCCCAAAGCTGGTTGTAAACCATTTTTTGGAAAGGACCAAAGTTATTAAAACAATAATTGTGGATAACAAAAGTCCTAAATTTGGTCAAAGACATAATTGACAAGAATATTTGGTTATTTCTAGGGCATACAATAATTTAACTTAATAATCATTATTACTAAAAAAAAAAAAAAAACTATAAGAAAGGGATTGGCAGTAGTGGGAAACTGTCAGGGGAGGGGGTGTGATTGGCAGTTGAGGGAAACTGCTAGGGGACAGAGGGGCACACCTCATCAACAAGGGTACCTGCATAATCAACGTTTATATACCTAAACCTGAATTGTACCCCACATCTTTATAATAAAATTTTTTTAATTTAAAAAAATTTCAAAATTATTGTTACTGATAATATTTACTAAGACATCAGAATTATAGGAATGTCATATAATTTTGGAACACATATAAATATAGCCCAAAGAAAGTTAAACACCCTTTTATATTTGACAATGGTTCCTAGGTGATTTCAACATACCAAATAAGCCAAATATGTTTCTCTTGGACTTCAGGGGCCTTGATACCTAAAATTATCAAGGTCAAAAGAGACTGGATTTAGAACTTGATTTTGGTTTGGAAAGTTTGTCAAGTATCAGAGGCTTTAAAACTTTTGATATCACAACACAGTATCACAGGTCACTGTAAAGTCATTCACTTAGCCAAAATGACCTTTCAGAGATGTTAAACAGCAAGAACCTTACTCTTTAATAGAGGAAACTCATTTTCTTAAACAAAAGAGCTAAAAAGACAACATAGGGCCAACTGACTCTCTTTCCCCTATTTTTTCTTTTTTTTTTCTGTAGTTTACTTAAAAAGCAACAGAAATCTTTCATTATTCATTATCTCTTGAAATTACATGAAAATCTTTTTCAAAAGAGAAAACTACATTTTATCTTGGTAGTTTATTATTAATGTTAAAACTAATTTAAATAAAGCCTTATAAACAAATCTATCTAATTTTAATTGGCTTAACCATAAAGCAAGATATTCATAAACCTTTTATAATTTTTTATTAAAGAACAGATCAATGTTCAAAAAAAAAAAAAAAATCCTGCTTTCTGACACAGGGACCCAGATTCTAGTCCAGCTATGTACTTTTGATATTAAAATTTAATTTATGAAAAACTAAACAATCCCCTATAAATTTTAGATAACTAAATCACAAATAAAATTTCCTTTATAAGATCAGTCTTCGTAGTCCTTTTGCAATTTTTTAAACCTTTAGTTTTATCTTAAAATTTTTACCTTAGGACAAAAATTTACTTTTTATATCTGTTTTTGTTCTATATCTATTTTGTCTCTATCTATTTTATTTTAGCCATCATTTATATCCCTTTAATTTTTTTAAAAATTAAAAACTCTAGACAAAATTACTTTCCCTTTAACAAAAGTCACATTCCCATGATTTCTTATAGCTTTTTACTGAAAACACATCTTTTAAAAATACATTTTGCATGTAA